GTTGGACACACTTACTTACTGGGTTAGACATCCTTTAATTCATAGTCATAAGTGAATTCATAGGAGTTTTCAATTCTAAAACAGGTGCAATTTATATTTACTCTCATAAATAAATACCACACATCAAAAATTATTACCAAATTTCTTATTGTAATAATAATGTAGCAAGGTTTATGAGCAACTAACTCATATATTTTCTTCCTCCAGTAGACTAAATGATCTAAACACGCACTGTAGGAAGAAGATTAAAAGGAGATGTATTCTTTCTGTATCCTTCCCACCTCATTAATTTGGAGTGGAGCAATGTGACATAGTGTATTTTTAAAGTAATGCGGTCTAAGATTAGTGTGGTTTGAAACAGTCTGATCTTCAGATTTTTGCCCTATGGAAGTAGATATGTAGACAAAGCACTAACACATGAATCTCTTTATAAGGTTCTATAGGTCCCTGTGTGTTATTTGTACCTATGCATGAGGCAAATCCAGTAAGCAAAAACTGTGTATCAGGAAAGAGTGGGAAAAGTATTGGACAGTGAACTGGCAGATTTAAGGCAGGAGTCAGCAAATGTTTTCCAAAAGGGACTGACAGTAAGTGTTTTAGGCTTTGTGGGCCAGCTATCTCTGTATTTGGTCTCTGTTACAACTAACCAACTCTACACTTGTAGCATGAAAACAATCACTGATAATATATATACTAATGGACCTGGCAGTGTTCCAATAAAACTTTATTTACAAAAACAGAAGAAAGACTGAATTTGACCTGCAGGCCATGGTTTTCCAACCCTTAATGTAGGATATGGTAATGGCACTGACCCTTAATGGGTTGTAAGTCTTTTCTCGTGATGGTGTTCAGTTTCCTCATCCTAAAATGAGGTTAGACTAAGGAAGCCAGAAGGGACTCTCCAGCTTTGCATCTCTAGGTTCACATACAGAAATGGTCTCTAGAAATACTTCCAAGCATAGCTCTAGGGTCAGGCAGCTGATTCTCCAGTGTCCTCTTTGGAAAAAAAAAAAAAAAAGTTCTCAATAAGAGAAAATATAAGAACTTCTTTTCTTTGTGTATGGGTGTTATCCAGATTAAACATGAGAATTGAAAACAGTTATGACTTTAATACTTTTGAATTCTTTATTCTCTAGAGGCCTTAGCTCTGTTTAGGAAAAAAAGGCAGACATAACTATTTAGAAAGATTTCAAAAATACTTACTTTGGAGTTAGCAATGGACTTTTCAAATTTGCAGATGACAATCTGAGTATTAGAGGTTTCAGTGCTGGTAGACCACAGGCTAGAAAGTGGCTTTCAGAAACACTTTTTTGTTTGTTTGTTTTGAAAGGGTAAACTTCATGGGAAAATTCTCTTTGTTGGAACGCCTCATTACCCAGCAATGCAGAATAAATGGGGCATTGCTCTCTATTGATTTGCTGCTGCAGCCTCTGTAACTAAACATGGCCTGAGGCAGTTCCGCAAACAAGAGGATCCCTGTTTAATTGTTGCTTGAATAATTTTTCATTATCATTACTCGGGGACTGGAATTTCTATTTTTACTTGATGTTACTTTAAATATACCCTTTGTCTAGCATATTTTCCAGCATATTAGAATCAGTCACTTACCACAAGAATATCATCAAATGTACACACTGAGAGTAATTCCACTGCAGTGTGACTCAGAACTATAAATTCACAAATAATCAGCCCTGATTATTTATTTCCACTGGGTTAAGGTAAGTGTACATATAAATTCCACATGTCTAGACTATATCACCTTTATTTTGAACCGCATCCTTAATGAAGCTCCCTGTCATAGCTCAGAGTAACCAGAATTCTATATATTTTATCTGCAGGTCTCCACATGAGTTGGAACTGTTCTCTATGAGATTATTCAAATAATGGCTCGACTGGAGTCCATTCACAGAATTTTTCTACCTTAGGCTTTTCTTTTTCTTTTTTTTTTCCCCTTAAACATAGGATATATTATTAATATCCTTTCAAGGGATACAACAGAGTTAGGTATACAATTTGACATATTTCCTTATACTTGTCAAAAGCAGCATATGTAAAAACAAATTAAAATGTGGTTACTAGATACTTAACCAGAGCAATAAATACTGAGTATTCATGGTATCTTTAGTGTTCACAATAAGGAAGAGATACAGAGAATAATTGAATTACACGGATATTCTGTGGCATGTATTTTGGGTCAGGTTTATGTGACTAAATTACACAAGCCACAAAGTCTGGTTCACCCTCCCAAGCCCTCAAATACTATAAAATTTGATCTTATTGCTACTTTATCAGATAAGTGTCTCTGGCCAAATCTAGATCCCTGTTCTACCAGAAAATTTTCCTTACTGTCACTATTCTTTATCCTGCTCATATCTTCTGCTTGTGACCACTTTCACTGATAATACTTGAAAAAGTGAGATGGTTTGAAGATATCTACTCAGCCACTTGTTTCATTTACACAGCTGTTCAAAGGCTTGGCTCCCATAACCTTAAAACTCTGGTTTTTATTAAAGTCCCAGATGTAGGACAAATATAGACAAATTTGTAAATTTTGAAATAATGGTAAAAGATTGTATCTCTGGGGCGCCTGGGTGGCTCATTCGGTTAAGTATCTGCCTTCAGCTCAAGTCATGATCCCGGGATCCTGGGATCGAGCCACACGCCAGGCTCCCTGCTCAGTGGGGAGCCTGCTTCTCCCTCTCCCTCTATCTGCTGCTCTGCTTGCTTGTGCTCGCTCTCTCAAATAAATAAAATAATAAAATAAAATAAAATAATAAAATAAGATTCTCTCTCTGTAAAGTATGTCAAGTTATTTGAATGGTTATTTAGGTCTTTGTTCAAGACAGCCTAAAATTCTTCAAGTTGTTCAGTCCATTTTAATTTTATAAGAATTCTTTAAAGATTTTAAAGTTCTCTTGAATATTCTATTAGATGGAGAGGGTACTATTAAAGGAAAAATAGATAGAAGATAGATAAATAGATAAGAATTACAGTAAAAATTGAATCAAGCTGGCAAGGGGAAAATAGAACAGTAAAAGTAGAGTGAGGAAATCCTCACTGATTTTTTGTTAAGGAACGTCCTTAATATTGTTTACGAATGCAAATATACTTCAATTTACAAATCTATTCATTCTTCCTCAGCTTCATAAAAAGTAGTAACTTCGGCCTAATTATATCATTACATCATATAATAATTGTTTTATATTTTGATATACCTGTGAATAAACAACCTTCACATCCCCAGAGATTTTAATAATCCAATATTTGAAAGAAGGAGAATAAAACAAAGGAAAAAAAGTGATGCAAAATTCTTATCTTCTGGACATCTCTAACTTTATAGTGTTTTAGTGTATGTGCTTGTGTGTGTTAATCTTTTTGCAACTTTTAGCTGGTAATCTATCTGGCACTCTGACTGGATTGACCAAAAACTGTACACAACCATAAATAGAGAGGATGAAAGGCAAAGTGAGATTTACTGTCTTGATCTTGAACATAAAACCAAGGAGGCTGAGAAAAAATATTGTCTGTTAGAAAAGAAATTATTTCTCTTGGAGTATATCCATTATAAAAGGTATTTTTATTCTTTCTATTAAAATTGTTCATCATCAATGCTCTTTGGGATTATATCACCCAGAAAAAAACAATGCTTGAGGCAAAAGGTTGAAGATTTTCTTAACAAGAAAAAAGCACTAGGAGATTTTCAAAGGAAATACAGAATATTTCTCTAATAAGCACATTAATAACTTGCAAATGTGTTGTCACATTTAGGGCAATAATTTATAGTACATTTCTCCCTAAGTATAAGAATTTCTGCATTAATTTAAGGCAAACATAAGGAAGAAATAAAAATTAAGCAAAATCACTTGAAAACAGTTTTAAATTTAAAACTTAGTTGATTCAATTCTTACACTGACTACATGCTGACAGTTTTTCATAAGCTATTCAGTTACTTTACACATATGCTTATATCTTAATTCAGCTTTTTGAGTTATTTTATATCTCTTTTTCAACCTTTTTGTTTATACAGTAGTAGTTGGTTTATCACTCAATTCCAGTGTAAATTTACATAATAAAAACTTATTATAAGCAATTCAGAGTATCTTACATGTTGACACATATCACCATGCTATAGAGTAAATAACTCAATTTTAATAATAAAAAGTAAAATATAAAATTATAAAATATAAAATATAAAAATTAATAATAATCACCAGTGCTAGAAGGATTGTTGCTGCTATGATTACTCCTGTTATTTTTTGAAGGCATTTTAAATACTGTGTGTGAGGCACACGTTAGGAGGATTTTGGTTGCAAGTGTCACAAACCAAAGACAAGCAGGATCAAGCACAAGTGATGGGTACCGGAAGGGTAACAGTATGGAAACGACTACTCATGGTTGTTCAGAGATCCAGCTCTGCCATTTACTTTCCATATGACTTCAGACAAGTTATCCAGCCACTCTGTGTTCCAATTTCTTCATGTGTAAAATGGAAATAACAGTATCACCTATCTCATAAAGTTATTGTGACCATTAAATGGCCTTGTTTTTCAAAAGATATAGAACAGAGCTTAGATGTTTAGTGCTATATGACAGTTTATAATAAGTTGCTGTGCTGCTCTTGTTCTTGTTAAGGCATTTCTAAAAATCAAAAGGGAAGTATGCAGCTGGTCTTCCAGAAAGAAAGCAGGATCAGGAGTGATATAGGAAACAGAGGTGCTCTCTATACATCTATTTTAATCTAGCAGATGTTATTATTCTCATTCCACAGCTGGGAAATTTGAAACTTAGAGAAGTTAAATACCTTTCCAAAGGCACCCACTAAGTGCCACAGACAGGATTTGAAGTCCAGTTTGTGTAACTCCAAATCCTTGTTACTAAAAACTACACTAGACACATCAATCAAGATTTCTTAAAGTTTCAAGTAATATCAAATGGTGATTTATGTACTTTTTTCCATTTGTTAATTTTTAATAAACTGATAAGTACTTACATATGATATGATCAGATCTTCATCAGTAGGACATTCAATTTAGTTGGGTTTGCAGGAAGGGAGATAGATTTGCATCACTGCATGCATTCATATTCTATTTCTTGGTGCCTTTGACGCCAGTGGTCTCTACTGTAACAACATAGCCATCCCATTATCTAAAATGATGAAGTAAATGAAGCTTTTAAGGACAGAACACACATTGTCTACCATATTAAGATGAGTTTTTCTACCCTTAATCTAAGGAAGTTAGGATATAGGAAGCTGACAAACTGGCTAAAAAGATGAGAAATACTTAACTTTACAACCAAAGTATCCTTGGCACTTTTGACAAAGGACAGAAAGGAATTGAAACATTAAGAAGAAAAAAATTAAGTGATCTGTCAGTTATAGAGAAAAATAAACAAGAAAACCCATCATTTTAGAATGCCTTTGGAGTGGATCTGGGTCCAAAAATTTTTAATTTTAGTCTTAGAGAAATATTAGAAGATTAAGTAAAATAGAACCTTATATTATAGTGGAAGATACATGGATTTCTCAATACTTGTGTCTAAACCATTAAAGAACTTGGAATCAGCTCACTAATTAGAAAGTGGCTTTGGGTGCCCACAAAAGAGAAGAGAGGCACAAAAAAATAATTATTTTTGATATGGGCTAGGAAAAGGGTACAAAGATTTCTTCGTGCTGTTTTCCCTCCACAACCTCCTACAGCAATGGTGGTCGTAATCAATATTATTCAATTGTCGGTTAATTGCAAATCAGGTGTTGCGGTGATTATATACCAGGATCCTGTTCTAATTCAAATTTTGTTACACTGGTTGAGTCAACTGAAGTTGATAGACTTGCTTTTTTGGTTAAAAGAATTTGAAGAAGGTACAAATAAATGAAAAGGAAAGCTGAAAGTACGTTATAAAAGAGGACGACAGGAAATCAAAAATTTAGCAGTTGGAAAATGGACATCATTTGCTCATTTTATTTATTTAATAAAGTATAATAATTCAAAAGTCCAACTATAAAATTTGTTATAGTTGGCCTATGATATCACTATATTATTTTGTTATAGCTGTAGACAATATTTGAAAATATTAATTGATATGTTGGAAAAATGTACCAAATATAGTGATAAAACTATCCTTTTAAAATAATATTTATTAGATTTTTATTAAAGGCATAAGCATATTTTCTGGATATTTGGAAAATATAGACATGTAATGGTTTAGCATTAATTTAACACCAAACACAAGGAAAGCAAAGAGGAAAAACCATTAATATCTTGAAGACTATCAATAAAAATATATCAATAATTTATGACACAAATTTGCTGTCTTATCAGGTAAGAAGCCTTAGACAATAATTTATTGTATTAAAATTAAAAGGTGCTTATTACATATTAAAATTCCAATTTGGAAGACATTCATCAAAAATTTAACCTATTATTTAAAGTCTAAATAGCATATCTTCTGATTGTTGTAAGATTTATACTTTTGTGCTGTAAGATTTACAGATTTAATATTTTAAAATAGTCAACACATATGACATTATGGTTATTTTAAATGTTTCTCTAAAATGTAAGTCAGTCTAGACTTTGTAATGCAAAGAGACAATGAGACTTTAAAATTTTATCAGCAATCTTAATGTAGTTTTTTACTGCTCACTTGGTTCTAATATATTAATCTACGTGATATTTCTAGATCTTCTTAAGATGCATTTCCAATGTGCTCTTAAAAATATTTTAATGTAAGTCCTAATGGAATATAACAAATGAAAAATATTTATTCAAGAAAATCTTCTAAGACTTGGTAAGAACTACAAAAGTCTGCATTGTTTCAAACAAGTCCTGCACCCTCCCTCCAGCCTCCCAGCTCAACAAGACAGAAACTCCACTATCAGTTGGTATAGCCAAGAACACAGGGCTCTCCTCGCAGTTCCCAGGCGGAGGTCAAACTTCCTAAGATGGGCAGGGCATTAGCAATTCTCATCTTCCCCCAGCTACCTGTTGCTGAAGCTAAGTTCTCTGCCACTGTGGCTGAGGGTTAGGGCTCCCTTCATCCACTCAGCCCCTACTTGTAGACAAGCACTACTTTGGGAACAGTACTGCTGAGAATAGTGGGGTCCTAAAAGCCCTTGCCCCAACTAGTAGGATTAGGGTGACACACTGGGAGAGACAAACCGAGACCTGGGGCTGCTGCCCCATCTATCTACCAAGTGCTCAGTTCCTAAAGTGGAATGTCACTCAGAGAAAAGCATATATCATGGTTCTCACTATGGGTACCAGGGCAATGGCTCAGAAATTTTGCTCGGGGGGGAAAAGCAGACTATAGAACAGAGCCCCAGTCCTTCCCCAAAGAAAGTGGACTTAATTTACAACAGTACATGGAAAAGATCAAGCCTAAGGACACTCTTAAAAACTGAGAGTTGTGGTGAAAGGCAATCAAAAGGAGATTGATAGATCCTTGGAGATGGAGGATCAGCTGTAGGCCTGCGAGTCTGTAGAAAGAAAGAATAAGAGTGCCTGGGTGGCTCAGTCGTTAAGCGGCTGCCTTCGGCTCAGGTCATGATCCCAGAGTCCTGGGATCGAGCCCCACATCGGGCTTCCTGCGCAGTGGGAAGTCTGCTTCTCCCTCTCCCACTCCCCCTGCTTGTGTTCCCTCTGTCACTGTGTCTCTCTCTGTCAAATAAATAAATAAAATCTTTAAAAAAAAAAAGAAAGAAAGAAAGAATAAGAGACCTCTATGAAGAGCCTTCTTGGGGTCAGATAAATCTGAACTATTGACCTCAGAAACGATCCCTTCAAAACCTGGATCAGTCTGTGAATCAATTTATGATGCCTAAAGGCATTGTTGAAAATAATAGTGCAATCAACCAGCAAATAATGGGTTTAACTGTTGGATATGGTCAGGGGAAGGGAGCCCTGAGACAAAACCAGCCCAGTGAGGTAGGATAGAGGGGAGGTCAGAACACAGGGTTGCTACAGTATCAGTTGGTTCTCATTATTTATGGTAGTTATATTCTACAAAGTCACTGCAAACACTCTACTAGTGAATACTGAACCCTTTGCTCCCACAGGAAGTAAGGGGTAAATTCCTGCATTTTCAGCCTCTGGTCACAATATTTTTGTCAATGCATCAATTCACAACCTTATCATACATGTGTTTCTGTTTAAAGACACCTTATTTAATATATATTGTTGATTCATAAACATTGAACTCACAACCAACAGCATATAACTCACGCCTGACCAAAGCTTATCTAACACATGTATTTTCTCCTTTAGGCACATCACAGCCTCCTTCAGTACTATGCTTGGGGCCATTTTAAAGAGCAAAAATCACCAACATAAAGCACAGTAACACAGCTCTAAATAAGATTCTGAGAAGGACACTTGTTTATAATAAGAGCATGGAAACAGTGAAGGGAAAGCATCAATCACCTTGCTCGACCTCAGTTGGGAACATGCACATTGGGTGACTCAAATTTTTCACTGTTCTGTGTATATCCATGAAAGATCACAAGAGCACAGTTAGTATTGATTTTAGGTTAATAAACTTTAGTGAAAAGATAAGTTCACAAATACTGAATCTGTGAATAATGAGGATCAACTATATTATCTAAAAGGTCCATTTTCCAACAACAACAATTGTAAGACATACAAAGAAACAAGAAAGTATGTCCCATATACCAGAAAAAAGCAGGCACTAGAAACTGCCTGTGAAAACAAATGGATGCCACATTTAAAATACAAAGACCTGTAAGCAGCCACTATAAATATGTCAAAGAACTAAAGGAAACCCCGACTAAACAAGCAAAGGAAATTATGATGGCAATGTCCATTAGTACTGGGTTGTAACTGAGCTGAAGATAAATACATGTCTGGAAATTTTCATTTCGTTTGCTAAGAATAAGTTACATTTTAATTTGTAGAGCAGGTCACTAAAAAAGCGTTCATTGACATGGATTTATTCCAAACAATATATGATCTAATTATATAACATTAATGAATTATGCTTTTTTTTATTAAGCCTAATGAAATAAAGTGAAATAATTCACAATGTTGTAAGAATGCATCACCATGCACATTAATATAGCATGAATGAAATGTTGAAATGGAGCCTGTTTTAGTCCGTTCAGGCTGTCCTAACAAAAATATCATAGACCAGGGTAGCTTACACAACAGAAATTATTTCTTACTATTCTGGAGGCTGAGAATTCCAAGATGGAGGTGCCAGCAGCTTAGCTTCCTGGCAAAAACTTCCTTCCTGGTTTGCAGAGGGACACCTTGCTGTATCCTCACATATTGGATATAGAGAAATCACCTTTCTAGTTAGTAGCTCTGTCTATAAGGGGCACCAATCCCATTCACCCATTCATAAAGGCTCCACCCTCATGACCTAATCATCTCCTAAAGGTCCCACTTCTTAACATCATTAGGACTTCAAAATATAAATCTAGGGGGAGGAGAGACACAAGCATTCAGTCCTTAGCAAAGACTATCACTCTATAGAACAGAGGAAAAGAATTACGACAACTTGGAGGAAAGGCAGCCTTCTAGGCTGGGAACAGCACAAACGCACACACAGAGACTGAGGGAGTTAGTTCCTACTTTGTTCCAAAAATACTGCTCAGCTTTAAAGTTGCTAATGAGAAAGAGATTATCTGTTTTCATGGAGCTTTTATTTACCAGGAAAATAACCATAAAGGAAGTATTTATGAGTGTTATACATGTTAGGAATCCCGCAGGGAAAAAAGCAATCCGTTAAAAAAAAAAAAAAAAAAAAAGAACAAAAGAAATATCCAAATAATGGAATTAAAATTTTAAAAAGTTGAAAGAAAGAGAAAGAAAAAGACTGGTATAAAAGCTTCATCATGTCCCACTAAACACCAATAAAAATTTAGTACACTCAGATAAAAAAAATGTATCTCACATATCATATGCATATCTTATATTTATATTTAACACCAAAAAATTATGTATAATAGGACAAAAATTGACTTGTTTAAATTTTCATTGAATTTCTCACTAAAGGGGCGCCTGGGTGGCTCAGTTGGTTAAGCGACTGCCTTCGGCTCAGGTCATGATCCTGGAGTCCCGGGATCGAGTCCCGCATCGGGCTCCCTGCTCGGCGGGGAGTCTGCTTCTCCCTCTGACCCTCCTCCCTCT